AATACTGATGATTGCAGTGACCCGAGTACACGCATTACTTAGATTTCTACAAATCGGTGACCCCGACGTGATTTAAAAAGCAAACTTCCAAAATGACCTTGAGGCAAGTGGCCTTGAACATGGACACCGGACATAGCAATGTTGGGTGCCGGCTACAAGAGGGGAAACTAAAGCTCGTTATGCTAGTCAGAAAAACAGTCCGAAGAATACGCGTCTGTGGCCTCTAGAGCGCACGTTGGGGCCTATTTGACAGTTGTCAGACAAACTGCAGGAGGTAATGAAGATGTTCAATAACAAGGTTAGTAAGATGGAAGTGAGGATCTTAGGTTGAGAAGTAAAAGATGAGATCGCTGGAACTAGAAGTTCATTAGCCTGACGTTTCGGATTCTGACGAGAACACTTCCTCAGAGGTAACCGTAGAATAGCGAACACAGTTGTCGCGCAAGTATTAAGCCCACATTCAACACGGAAAACGAAATAGTGGCAGAATTGGAAGCGGACTGCCAAGCCATCAACGCACCAATTACGACACCCCAGCTGTAACTACCGGAGCTGACAATTATAGTTCGCATGCGGTGGCCGCTATAAACTACAAATATTGCGCAATCTGTGCACGAATTAGACTGCATAACACGGAGTGTATATATTATCAAAGCGGAAGATAAAAATGTGAGTGGGGTATACAGAGAAAAGCGAGTTCTTTCATTTTTAACAGAAGAACATAACCCTAGTTTCTAGGTAAGCCGAAAAACGGTCACATGTTGCCATTTTTAACTTCACATCACCTTTGAAAAAGCTAAGTTAGGTTGAGCATTTAGTCGGAAATATCTAACTTAAGTGATATTTCAAGAGGTGACTTGTTATAGAAAGCTTACTTTTGTTGATTTTAGGCGTATCAATATCTGACTTTTGTTGTGGACGTTCATTTTTCTCGGAAATGAGTTAACATGTTTGGGTGACTCTAAAATCATGATCCAAGCAAACAACAACCTAAGAAAGAACGTTTAAAAGACTATCATTTAGGTAAATGCTTTTAAGAAATACCTTATTTTGAAGAGTTTGGTAAGCACGTAGAACATAATCCTTAGTTATGTACCATCGACTGAAACCACTGAAATTCTTAAAGTGTTAACTATAATTTCAAGAACGATCTGAACCTCGTCGTAAACGAAATCCCAACATAATTACAAATAAATGTGACAGAAGGAAATATATCTTAGTATGCACAACAAGGTACGTTTACGATTAGACCTGACAATTCCATTTAAATTTATTAGTCATTGAGCGTCTGTTGGCGAAATATCTTCCTCCTACGTAATCAAGGGAAAATCTGGTTGTCTTCGTCCACCGGGACTCCAACAATTTAGAAACGGA